TTGAAGAAGAAGGCGGACTTTGCGCATGTTGCTGCATGAAGTCTTGCGGGCACTCCACAATGGAACATGTTCCTGTGAAGTGCCATGTTTGATCGTTCTGATTTGAGGTTGCTGCCCTCGTCCTCGCAATCGCTCTTGCCCTCGTTGCCCTCGCCGTCACTCTTGCCGTTGTCGCCGCCGTCGGGCTCGCCGTCGTCCGCGTCCCCGCCCTCGTCTGCGACGCCCGACTCAGCCTACAAGGTCGATGCACTCTCGCGCGTGGAGTGCACGCTTACGAAACTAAGCACACACACAGAAAACCAACCAACAAACACACAGACAGACGGACAGACAGACAGCCCAAGAAAGAAGAAAGAAAAGAAGATACAAATAGAAAGAAAAAGAAAAAGAAGGAAGAAAGGAGAAAGGAAGGAAGGAAGGAAGGAAAGAAGGAAGGAAAGAAGGAAAGAAGGAAAGAAGGAAAGAAGGAAAGAAGGAAAGAAGGAAAGAAGGAAGGAAGGAAGGAAGGAAGGAAGCAAGCAAGCAAGCAAGCAAGCAAGCAAGCAAGCAAGCAATAGAGAAAGAAAGACAGACAGAAACAAAAAAACACAACCAAGCAACCACAAAACACAAGCGCTAAAAACATGCGCACACACACACACAAAACCCAAAGACAAACACATCACCCAGCCAACAGAAGCACCACTAACCGACAAGCAAACAAACGTGCGCGCCTATGGAAAGAAACGGCTGAACCAACTGCAAACTACACTTTGAGTAGTATTGTAGACTAAGCGAAGCCAAACGAAACTGATCCCCCAAAAAACGAAAACTACTCAGTGAACTAAAACAAACAATCAAAACCAGTTCAAGCCAGCCAAAATTGTTTAAGACTGCAAGCACGGGACAGAACGCGCGGAAGATTTGACAAGAATGGTTTTCAGCTCGGCCACCTTGGAATCCATACTTCCGCTGCCTGGGCTGCGCCAAGGTAATTAATGTAGAAGCGCGGGGTGCTTTTTAGGGCTTGACCAGCCAAGACTGTTGTAGACAAGAAACTGTTGCGGAAGAGATGTCTCAAACTTCCCATCAGCTTCTTAATTCGCTTGGCCTGGAGAGTGGCTTTGGTGTCCTCAGATGTAGGAACAAGGAGGCCCTCTTCCAAGAACTTGTCTAGCAGCAACAGGGCGTCCGCGACAAAAAAGCCGGACGGCGCCTGGCAGCCCCGCAAACGCTTTGCAACGCGTGATCTCTAAAACGGCGTTGGCCAGCGACAGGAAGCATACCTCCTTCAACCACAGGAAGTTCTTAGACACGTCCTACACAAACAGGTGAGGAACACGTTGCAACACCTTGCTCAAGATCCAACCGGTCCTGAAAGCTCGGCCGGGCAATTTCATTGCCAAGGCTAATGATTTTAGCCCCTGGCGCCAGCCGGTGGCCACGCACAATCTGCAATGCCCGGTCAGGCATCGCATTCAGCCAGCTTGTTGACAGCTCCTCCTTATCAGTAACGCGCAGCACGTTTCAAAGGAACGGACTTGCGCCAGGGCTCGACCATTTTCAGCGTCCATGGAATGCGCCCCGGCCCTTAGCATCAAGGACATGACTGGTTGCAAGGGACCCTTTGGACAATTACTACAAGCTTGACAACGGGCCGAGCGCCAGGTCGAGCCCCCCAACTCCGGAATGCCATGCTTGTTCCCGGCAACAACAGCCATGGCTTGCTGCCGCACTAAGTTCGCGAAACCCCAGAGGCTGACTAAAAAGGCAAGCATACACATACGTTGCCAATGAGCATCGTGTGTTTTCTTCGAGTTCTTGGGCCCAGCGCAAGGCTTCCAAAGAATTTGCGTTTTGTGGGCCAAGGACCTGTGTTTTCCACGTGGGACTTGACCGAACGCGTCATTGCGTCCCAGAAATCACAAGCGTCAGGCAGCCAACCTTGTTATTCAAACAGGGCGACAAATGAGCCATTGTGTTTAAAAAGGAGCGAAAACAAGCATAGAATCGGAACCATAGATGTCAGACAGGCGCCTAAGACTCTTCAAACCAGAACCCCTCCCTCAAGAAACGAAAGCAAACGCGTGTTGGGTGTTCCTTTGCGTTTTGGCGCAGGACCCCAGCTTCCGCGCCTTCTTTGCGGAAAATTGGCGTCGGGATGCTGGGAGCATCCCTCCAAACCCCCTATTTGCCAAGAGCGTGAATAAATTTGTATTTTTTTTAAACCCGTTCCAGGGCGGCCCCCAAACAGTTAAAAGGCAACAGCGGGGAGAACCGTCTGTGGGATCCTCAAAGAAAGATTTCAACAACTTGAGCTTCCTAGAGATTCCCGCAAAAGAAAAGCTTTGCGTGGGATCCAGATTCATGATGTTTGTTCAAACTTGTAATGACACCTGCAATCTGCGACGTTGCGCTTGTTTCCCCCCCCCAGCACACCGAATGGATGTATTGACCAAGTCTCTGGTACATAGATCGGTGAAAACTGTTGCGAGCGTGCCGCAAGTTGTTTCATCCCCAGCGCAATATCTGCGTAGATGAGGTGGCCCATGAGCCAAAGTTACGGGGTGAGGGAGACTAAGTGGAGTTCAAAAACAAATGCCGGGGAGGGGGAGAGGGGGTGTTTTGTTCATCTACAGCAGAAAAATGTTTCATCACCCAGCCTGCCAGACCTGAACTGCAAAACTAGAAGCAAAAGCAATGCGAGCGTGCTTTTTTTGGCTCCTTTCGCTTTGAGCACGCCCCGTCCTTCCAAGAAAGGACAGCCCTTTGCAGGCTCTTCCAGCCACATGGGCCTGCAAACGGCAACTGAGCATTCGTCAAGTTGTCGTTAGGAGCGCAGTTGCCCAAAGGACCACTTTGGATTCTCTCGGTACATCACGCTGCATGGGTCATCGGCGCAATGTCGGCGAATGTCGGCGAGTGTCGGCGATTGTCGGCGTCGTTTTCACGACGGCTTTGATTTGTTATTCTCCGCAGCTCTCTCGGCTTACTGTCGGCTACATCTCGCGAATACCCTCTGAGACTCTGGCCATGCAGCCTGCCAGCGCATCCGAGGCGCGCTGCTGCCAGAAGCTGCAACGTTGAGCTTTCTGCCGCAGAAAAGAAGCAGTTCTTTCGGAAGGCGCAAGAATCCGCTGACGGCACTGTCAGGCACAGCTGGGCCGCCATTCGATATGTAACGGCTTGAGTTGCATTTTGACTGCGCAGGCTCGCGCAACATGGTAGGCCGGGTTTGGTGTCTTTCGTGGGTGTGCTCCCGCCTTGTTGCCGTGCGAAGTCCGAAAAAAGGTTGGGTGGTGAACCCTTGGGCGTGTTGGATCGCTCTCGCTGAGACTTCGGATATGCCGTGAGGAGCCGCCATCGGATACGCTGGAGGAGCATGAGGATACCATAAGAGGTTGAAAGGTGACATTGCGCCAGACGTGGGTGTCGCGGCCATGGATGTTGCCCTCTACTCATAAGTTGGCCAGACAACTGGCAGAGTATAAGCACCGATCAACTGAACGACCGTAATGCGCGGCGGGGATCCTGGTTAGCAGCGCATCTCTCCCATTCGTAGTTGATGCGTTCTGCCATCATAAGCTGGCCGGATCCGGTGGAAAATGTCGAAGGAGCTGCTTGTGCTACACTCGAACAGCAATCTCTGGCTTGATCTTTTGCAAGTATGGATGGATCTGAGCACAGTTTTCCAATAACATCGAACAGATCCAAATGGCAAAGCCTTTGTGGCCAGCACGTAATGTGAACAGTAAGAAATGCATTTGTACAGGTTGGCCTGGGTTCGCGAAAGGTTCGCCTAACCTCCGTGGGTTCGCAAAACGCCGGCTGAGTTCGCAAGCTTCGGCTGGCCTTTTCTTGTAGACTGTAGATGTACGTTCGCGCACCTTGCTGGGGTTCGCACATGTTCGCTCAACAAGTTCCAGTGTACCCACAGTCTACCCTCAAAAAATGCTGCACCGCGATGACAAAGGAATAGTGTCTGCGAAAACCATTGGTGCCATGATGGTTGGAGAAACTGATGTTTGCAAGGGAATTCCATTGTCGCGTCGGCGTAGGAGTGCAACGGCTGGCGCCACATCTCCAGATCACATAGCTCACTTATCTTGGACCATCCTGGGAAATTACAACAACGCTCCAACATGTGAAGGTGCCCGCGATGGAGCCAACTGACTGACTAAGTCGGAGTCCAAAGCTGCAACGTTCCACAAGCATCAGAGCTGCCCGGTCGTTCCACAAGCATCAGAGCTGCCCGGTTGAGGTAACGGCGGCATGGCCATGTTTGCAATCTGTTCATCACCTTGCAAGTAAGCGGAAAGTTCGTGTGGGTAGTTGCATGCGGGCCCGGGCTGGCCCGCTGCTGAAACGCATTTAAGGAGCAGTGACTGGCACTGCAACGCGAACGCGATGTGTAGCCCACTCCACATGGTTCAGGACCCCGGGGCCACTCTCCGTCCTTGCGGCGAATACGGCTGACATAGCGCGGCTGTACGGGAATGTGACATGAGCGCGGCGCCCAGGAATGTTCATCTTGATTCCGAGCTCGGTTGAATTGCGTTGGAGGTGCCTGATATTGCGAGCTAGAGCCGTGCGGCCAGCAAGAAAACTGGTGCCGATCCCCATACTGACGGTGGGCGGAATCGTACTTAGCTGGAATGCCAGCTGCTTTTGCCAGGAGCCGTGGCGCGTGCTGTTGTGGCCAGTCTGACATACACAAAGCATCCAGGATCCGGACTGTCCGCCCAACGCGGGGCCCCGCCTGTCGTAGCAAACAGTTAAAGGCGTGTTCTGCTCATCGCCACGCACGGCTGACAGCAGCGGAAAGCGGAAAAGGCTTGTGGAACTGCTTTACTCAGGTGTTTGAATTTACTATGTCGCACGCCGGTGGAAGAATGATTGTCGTCGGACCTCCTATTGTCCCGGCATTCAGGACCCCTTTTTCTAGGTCTATGCAACTCCTATGTTGGGGTTAACAATTGCGAGGCAATTGTTTAAGTCCTTTCGTTTCAAGCCATTTGCAGGGGGACCTCCTTCGTACCGTGGACCACGCCATGGCGAGGAGCCAGCGCTTGGGGGAAGCAGGCAGATCTTTCCGACAGTCACTTAATACCTTCTGAAGAGCGCTTCAACCCCCAAAATGGTGCCAAGGAAGTCTGTGCCGAGGGCCTTTCAGTTGCAGACTCTCCAAATTGCGGTTTCTTCGGGCCCCTGTCCAGATAGCTCTGCCTACTCAATGAATAGGAGTGAAAAATTGGGTTTACATAACTTGCCATGGCCAGCCAACTCTGCGCATTCAATTTCCAAATGGGCACAGCCCGACTGCGATTTGGCCCTGGTTACTTGCAAACATTGCACACACGTCGGAAGACCTCTTTGCTCTCTCACTGACACTAGACCCAGCTTTTTGCCGAGCTAGAATTCACTTACAATTTCTGTTTTTCCTAAGAAAACAAGCTGCGGGTCTTTGATCTCGCTGCTAGCTTGTGTGGACAAAGCTCTTCTTGATGCTTGCCGGAAAGAAAAGCCTTCTGAACCTCCTGGGAAGCTGCGTGGCAAGTCTCTCAATCTTTGGCTTGGGGTTGTTCTTGAATTCAGCCTGAGCGAATTGAGATTCTGATGCCGGCCCCAATTGTCCCACTTGGGCAACCCAAGGTTTTTCGGCTCTCGCGCTTTTCAGCAATGAACTCCCTCTCAAATCGGGTGTTTACTTCGCCGACGCACAAGATTCGTCCCTGGCACGGCAGCAGTTCCTCTCTGCGGTGGCTTCTCCAGCAAACAACACCAAATGCCCGAGGGGTTTGAGTTCACTTTCTTATTCATGCTGGCGCCATGATTTAGATGTTGGGCTCCCCCCAACCCCACAAAGAGTTGGTGGACCGAAATCCAGCCACGTCAGTCGTGTCCGCCGAAGTGTCCGCCAGGATCTTTCGGGACGGCCCCGCGCGGTGGCTGCACGTGCCCCTGGGCGCGCAGGCGGGGTAAGTCTGGGGATATGGTGTCAAGTCATGGAGCAAGCAAGATTACTTGTCGGGGTGGGGCGGGAGAATTGTCTCTTGCGAGAGAGTCGTCAGACACAACCAACGCGCGCGCTTTCTGAGAATGATGCACCCTGGGTATAGCAGAATGGGTCAGTCCCACCAAACGGAAAATTGGATCACCAGCCGTTTTTTGCATTTGACAAAAGAGATATCCGTTTGTCTTCTTGTCTTTCCACGTCTTTCCACGTCTTTCCTCCCGCGGGAAAACTCATTCTAATGCGACGCATCAGGTGGTGTTTCTGACAGGCGAGTCAACGGCTGACTGCACGCGGTAAAGAATCCTGCATTTTCCCCGAAAGAAGCAGTTTTGGTTTCCTCCCCCCAAACAAAGGCTTCTTCCTGGACCTAGGAATCTTTTGTGTCAAAGCCTCTCGCAGGTCTACCGAGCCCCGGATCTGCTGCCCATGCCTCGCCTGACAAGGCCGGGGTCACAGGGTCACAGTTGGAGTCCAGCCCTTGACGCCCAAGGCAGGGAAGATTACGTACAATGTGCCGCCGCGCGCCTTCAAGAGCACAACGGCTCAAGAGTAGAAAGGAATGTCTTGGCATGCCTCACCCCTGAATCGGAACCAGCTAGTTTGTAGTAATAGAAAAAGGGTGAGGGGTGACGAAGACCAGATGAACACCCTCTCCTCGGTTGCGAGAGAGTGTGTGATAAAAGCACGCGGTATACCTTCGTGAAGTAGTATTAATGGAAACAATCATGGTGTCCTCCTATCTTTCACTTCCATATCTGTCCTACTTTATTGTTTGCTAGCTCACAAAGATAGAACATGGAAATGGAAAGAGGAAAATGTTACAATAAGAATAAAATGATTAAAGCCACAGTAACAGATGACAGAGTTAGAGAAGACCGAATGTCAGTGAGGAAGAAGTAAATAGTAAACAAATGCTGGTCAAATAAACATAAAAGGAAAGAACAATCAGAGAGATATAAAACAGGGTCTGGAGACGTAGCCTGTCCGTGAGACACTTAAGCGTAAATAACAGTTAAGGACAGGCAATTTTCTGATGATAAAAATATTAACTTCCTTCGGCCACTTCTAGCGATGAACATGATATGATTAGTGAAGATTCAGTATGGTTTGACAACTATTAGCTTGGGAGGCAAAAGGAACCCATTAAAAACAGAAGGTGAGAAATGAACCCCAACCGATACAAATTAGTCACAATTACTCATGAGATTCTAGTAAATAGATAGCCTTTCGTAAATACTGTTCCGTCCTTCTCCAGCAACTTTTAACTACTAATATCCTTTTCATTCTCACCTAAAACTCAAGAATATTGCACATATCTAAGGATAAGATAGGAAGTGAGTGAGAGATTTTGCAAGGAAACTCCAGTAGAACAAAAGCAGAAAGAAGACACAAATCAATAAACTCCGTGAGTAAAGACCAACAGCCTCTTCAGAGGCAAGCAAACTATCTATGGTTGTAATTTGCGTTTATTCTTCATCATGCACTAATATCTTCTCCAATATATTTGTGTAGATTGGATGAAGTGGTCCCGGAGTGAATTTAAGGGCAATAATTACATACAGAATCTTGGTAATCTCATAGCTTATTTCGTTTTATGACCTTATTGCGTTTTCTATGATATCCATCATTGTCCCCACTAGGTTTTTCGCTGTTTTGGAGAGGGTTCTTGATGGACAAGAATAATTTGTCTCCCAATAAACCGTTTCATTTATTAACATTATTTATTACTTTCATGTTCTTGGTTCTCTCGTTTGTCTATTGATTTATTTATTTACGTATCTGTTATGTTTCTTCATAGGCATTTTTCGTAATTCTTAATAATCCTGATAGCCGCGAAAGACAGGAGAGCAGAAGGAGGGTTAGCCAGTTCCTCTTCTTCATATTTGTTATTACCCCCTCCCCCGGGTCTTTTTCCCCACCCAGATGCTTCTCGCGTTTACAATGCGCGAGAGAGAAAGATAGATTGGGAAGATAGATAAACAAGTAGAAAGGTTGCAAAGTGAACAAGTACATGTTAATGCAACCAGCAGAGGAGAGACTATGAATGATTAACTTTCTGTTCCAACCATCGTGATTTTCTTTGCATCGCCAATTGATTCAACCTCACACCCAGAAGCATTTCTATACTTCTCAGATAGTATTGTAAATAGAAGACAACGAAGATAGTCAAATAGTTAATGGGATGGTAAACCGCAAAGAAGTGATCTTAATAACGACATGTCCATCCACAAATGTTTCCTGGATGAAGTGGAAGAGATAGAAAGGCTCGGACAAGGAAAGGACGCCAGCGATGAGAAGAACCCAGTCCTTACACCATTCTATGATGTCCTTTCATTTCCAGAAGATTATTAGCAAAAGAGAGAGAGAGACCGCTAGCATTTGCTATTAAAAAGGTTTTAAGGATTATGTAGTCAAATCCTTATCGGTTGAAGATGTTGGTGGGTGACAGTGGGAACGGGAAAGGGGCAGACAATTTGCTCTGGGCTTTGTTGTTGAGCAGGCCAAATAAAGGATGAAGAGATGGCATGTAAAACCAATTCACACGTACCAACTCTGGGAAATGCCATCCACTTCTCATATTCCCTCGCTTCCTCGATTGTGACCGCTACAAATAGAAGCGAGACAAAAGGAAGCGACGAAGCTATGTACATATTTCCACAATCTCCGCTCCCTTCTATCGCTTGTCGGGAGGTTACATGGGAAAATCAGGATGCGATCGGAGGAAAAGAAAGAATCACGTTACTTCTGTTCACCCTCTCCTATCTTCTCTTCTTCTTCCCAAGCGTCGCACGGCGTAAGATTAACAGCAGCCTATGCTTGAGGAAGAAGTCAAGGGAGGCTTCTCACTTCCCATTTTCAATCTTCAGTTTCATCAAAAGGAAAGAAAGAAGTGATCCCGATCCAGTGCCGGGAGCATCGCAGCCAATGGAGAACGCACGATGAATGGGAGAAGGTCGTTCTGACATGGTAAGTGCCCATCCAATTCTTTATCTTCAATTAGTATTGATGGGCGCTTACCTCCTTGCCAGACGCTTTACTTCTTCATTTCCAAAACACGGCGATGTAAAAGACAAGGCAAGGAAAATGACAAGCGTTGGCTGCGCCGGGACAGGAAAGGTCATCTTCTTCCATCTGTGTTTTACAGAAAGAAGCGGGTTGTGGAAAGCGGCTTTCTTTGTCTACAAATAAACCAAAAATAAAGCCCTTCCTTCGTCCCTCCAGAACGTATGCATGGAGCGGGGAAGGGAAAGGTAAAGATGGAACGGTTCATCTCCTTCCTATCTTCTCCCCGCTAGCGATACAGTTGGAGAAGAAGGGGGGCTAGCTTCTCCCTCCTTCCTTCACACCTCGATTTCTGGCGTTCTTCAACGGTTGAAGGCTGCTGGGATTCAGGGCAAGCTTGCCAGCAATCCGAAACCCATACCCTGCGCCAAGGAAGTCATGCTTTCTAGCTTGCGCCAGCAAGGTTGCGCAAAGTTGTGCGGTAAAGTAGCAAAGCGCTGCCCTGGCTTGTGTTCTGAACAACCAAATCGGATCACTGAACGGGCCTGCAAGGTGCTTTTGCCGCTTGCCTTGCTGTAGGTTTCGAGCGCTGTTTGTGGGAGGCACCAAAAAAGCCATCAGGCAACAAACCAGGGCGCTGCTTCGAACTGGCGGTGTTTGGGTTTTCGGAACCACCACCAAGGCATCTGACGCTTGTTCAGTCATCAGATGCGCTTGTTCAAACACAAGCCAGGGCAGCGCTTTGCGACTTTGCCGCGCTCATTTGCGCAACCTTGCTGGCGCAAGCTGGACTGCCTAAAGCGTGACTTCCTTGGTGCAGGGTAGATAGGTTTTGGACTTGCTGGCAAGCTTGCTCTGAATCCCAGTAGGCTGGCTGTCCCCAAAATCTCAAACCGCTTCTTTAAGACATTTAAGACTAACAAGATGCCTCAGGCTGTCGCCCCATCGTGATAGCCTGCGTGATCCAAAAAATGTCCATGGGATGGATAGACCCAAGTGTTCTAGAGGCCAAACACTTTCTTGCCAAAGATCTCAAGAAGCATTTCAACCGAATGCATATGTAAAGATTACGTGATGCCCTTTGATGAAAGTCCACCACAAGCCCTGCTCTGTTAAAGTTTCTGGGTGATGAAGGCCCGGGCATCGTCGTTACCTAAATGCGTGTGCGCTGTCAGCCCTTGCCGCGTTTCGGTGGGCAGGGAGTGCTTCTCAGCCGTTACTCTAGCTCTTCTCAAGCCTGGGTCTGGCCATTAAACAGCTTTCCCCTTACTCAGAACATGCGCAGTTAGTTCTGAATGTGTGTGCAGCAGGCCTTGAACCTGCGCAGGCGAAAGGCAACTACACCTACGCAGAAAGGCTTGGCTCTCTGGATAGAAAAACAGACCAAGCAAGCGCGCAACAAACGCGGGCAAATATTGCATTTGTTGGGGCCAGCGGCGAAATCACCCCGATTCACGGCCAAAGTTTGTTGACAGCGAGCTACCAAAGCTTGACGGCAAAAAGCAACAGCTTCTGGTCAGCCAAGCGGCAAAACGATCAGGCCCGTCGCTGCCGCAGGAGAACTTCAGCACGAACCGTGGAACAGCCGGGCGCGTCGCGCTAGCTGTGAAGATTCAAGATCTTTGGTTCGGGCAGTCTAGTCATCGTGCGCAGCAATGGCTTGACCTTTGGCACTTGACATTCAATGCTTTTCGTTTGGCGCGACCCAGGCTGCGCAAAACACAATGCTCAGCAGCGTGCGCTCTTACTAGTGCGATGCGATAGGCCACGCGCAGTAGACCTTGGTTTCCCCTGGCCTGGCTGGGGTGCCTCAGTTTGACCTAGACATCTGGGTAGACCAAAGAAGCTCATACTGGCATCATGTCTCATCCTGCAGTAATTGGTGGTTGGTCTAAGTTCCTTTGTCTCGAAACAGCCGGTCTTCGCGAAAAAAATATGTTGCCAATCTTTCGCGGACGCATCGCCTTGCGTAATTTGACCTTAAAACTAGAAAATCCAATCTTTTCAATATTCGGATCGGAAAAAACAAAAAAGGAGAAACTGAAAAGGAACCGTCTCCGGGGCTCAAGGGTTGCAATTCGTTGCAATAGTTTGTTTGGTTTCCAGGCCCTTCTTCGCGAAACCCTTAATGTGGCATCGACGCTCGCAGTACAGCAATGGACAACCGCGCGGGATATATCTCGCGAAGCAAATTTCCAAACATTACGTGTGCTAGGCTATGCGCCAAGCCATCAAGTTGCTAATCACCTTGTATCACTCTCAACCATCCAAAAGACCCACCACCCTGCAGAAAGTCCACTTCTTCACAACAGAGGGAAGAGTATAATGTGCCGGGGAGAGGGTTTACTTCTGTCTGGGCATCAACATCACACTGAGGGCTGGCTTTCAAGCAGATCTGGTAGAAATTGATTTCATAAAATAAATGAATTTGAAAAAAATG